TTTAAGGCTTTTCTCTTTAGTTTATGAATAATTTGTTCAAATATTTTTCAGTTTGTCTCTTTTATTCCTTTTATTTAGTATCTGACTCATTTTCTCTAACTTCAACTAAAATATTCTAATTTTCTTATAATTCATAAAATTCTATTGGCCAACCTTCTACTATTTTTATCTAATATATTATGTAATTATTACAGAATACTAATCTCTTTTACACTTTATCACTAAATCCTAAACTAATCGTCCAACTTTCTAAGCAATAACAGAAATCAATTAATCTGATGTATCTTCATCATTAATTTCTATCTTAAATGTTTTTTTCTAACCAAAACCATAATATTACTATACAATGAGTCTCATTATATAAAATATATATAATTAAAACTATATAATCAAAACACTCTTAATAATATTTCAAAAAATTAAATAGTACTTTTTAGTTCTTCCAGATTGTGAATAAACTAATTAGAATATTGAAATGCCATTAAATCATATTTAGAAATACTTTTTATTTAAAGATTATATAATTAGATTTTTTGGAATCAATTAGTTTATTAATTATAATTATATTCAATTCAAGACAGCTATCATAAATTTGTTGTATTTAATGAATCACAATTTTACAAAATTTCAATAAAACCTTAAATAAATTATCTAATCCAACATGAATTTTTTTTAATTTCTTCTACCTGATCATTAAATGTATTTGTAAAGAAGTTTAAATTTCTAATACTTGAATTTTAAAATAAGTGAATTTGTGCTTAAAGTGGATTAGATTCCTAAATAATATAAATTAATTATATTACAATATCGTTAATAAGAGCAAAATCATCTTTTGTTAATTCGTGAATTAATTATCTATCAAATATCATTTTATGATTTTAATAATTCTCAACTAGTTTTCTCACTATATTATCCACCAAATTATTTTCAATAAAATCATATTAATTTTAATAGTATTCTTTAACAATAAATTTATATGTATGAACAAAGTTCTTAGAAAGTGATTTCATTACTACTTCTAAACCAACTTTAGTTTCTTCTGATATATTATTTAATTATAATTTATCTTCACAATTACAATTCTTTTCTAAAAACAAATAAGTTGTATCTTCTGGATAATTAAGATATTCAAGAAGTCTTGAATTTTTATTCTAATAAATATATATGAACATCATTTACTTTTAAATCTTTCTTTAGTTAAATTGAGTATTTTTTTTTATCCTAATGAGTATTTTAATCATATTTCATAAAACCTTTCCTTATTTTTGAAGCAGGTACTCCTGTAACAACTTTAGATATCATGTTTCCCATCTTACATAAATATATAATCATTTTCATTGAGATATCTCTACCAAACCATAAACTAGAAAGAGCCTCATTCATAAATTATAAATTCTATCTAGGATCATCATTAATTTTTGTTCTTTTAGAAGGTCTTCCTGAACCCCAATTACTAACTTTTCTTTTTGCTATAGGTTTTCTAATTTTTTAAAGTTAATTTTTCTTCAACATAATTTAATCATGTTAATCAGAATCAGAAGATTGATTAACTTTAAAAGATTATTTGTCATCAGTCGATGAAGAATTTTAATTTTAAGATTTAGATTGAAATCCCATATTTAATAAATAATAATCTATTAATGTACTTAATTCTAATAATAAAAGTTTGAACATCTACCATATAATTTTATTTACTCTGCAATTTAACATAGAAAATTGTATATATTTAATTTATTACTCACATTTTAATAAATCTGCAGATAGATTCAAAATCAATAAAAATTACATCTTATCTATGTTTTAATTTAAATAAAGCATAATAAATGTATAGGTAATTAAAGAATTATATAAAGTAACATTTTGGTCAATCCAATACCTTGTATAAAATCTAAATCATTATATTTTTGTAGTACAAAGTATTTAGATTGGGATTGATGTATATAAATTGTAGTACTTATTCATTATATTTTTTCTAATTAAATTTGAATCATATTAAATTATTCAATTATTTTTTTTGCTTTATAAATCACTATTGTTAAAACTATATTTTATTTGAAACATTAAGAAAAAATATGGTTTAAAATTAAAGATATGATAATTAAATTATTGTTTATAACTCAAAAATAAAAATAGCGTAATTGGTTAAGTAAAAAACACATTATATTGTAATTTAGAAAAATTATCAAGGCTATGAATAGTCATAAAAAAAGATGATTAATCAGAGATTTCTCTCAAGATTTATTATTTTATATAGACTAATATTAATTAATATTTTTGGCGAAGAACAGTAGATAATAGTGTTCAATTTATCAGGTTTCAATATATTCTCAGATTCAAACTCTAAAAATATATTTTATAAAAAGTTTTTTTAATAAAAATTATTGAGGCAAGACTGCTTAATTAATTATAATATATTAAATAGTAGAAAAAATATATAAGTTTTTGTTAAATTGAATCCAAAAGATATAAAATTATAGTAAATTAATTTTGGTTTTTATATATAGATTTGTTATATTTCTTAAAAATTTTGGTGGATTATTTTCAAGATATTTTGAGAGAACTTAAAATTGAAAAGGGATTTATATATAGATTTATAAAATTTAATGATATTAATTTGATTTATTTATTTCATGAAACTGCTAATTATTTTAATTAATTTTATATTATGAATAGATAATAATAGGAAGCTGCTCAAATTTGTATGATTTTATAATTGAGAATTTAGTACTTAAAAGAGTTCGTGATGCTTTATAAGCTAGGGGATCAAAGACTATTAGACAGTTGGGAGTCTGTTTTAGATGTCTTGATTCATATGATGGGAATAGAAAATTGGACAAAAATGAATTAAAGGTAGGTCTGGGTGAAAATGGAGTTTAATTATCTTGGAATGAAATTGATGTAATCATATTTATTTATTGTAGATCTTATTTGCTGCTATGGATAGAGATAGGAGTGGAACTATTGATTTTGATGAATTTTTAGTTTCTATAAGAGTAATAAATATTTATATTGTAGGGGTAATTGAATCCAACTAGAAAAGCTATAGTAGATCAGGCTTTCAGAAAATTTGATAAGACAGGAGATGGATACATTACAGCAGATGATTTAAAGTGAGATTTTTGAATATATTTTAGAGGTGTTTACAATACTAAATTACATCCAAAGGTTAAGAATGGTTAAATGACAGAACAGTAAGTGTTTGATGAATTCCTTGTTAATTTTGGAGATGTAGATAGAAATGGGTAATTGACATATTAGGAATGGTGTGATTATTATGCTGCAGTTTCAGCTTCAGTTGATAATGATGAACATTTTGTGTTAATAATGAAAATGGCTTGGAAATTATGACATCGATTTATCATAATATAATTTTTAGATTATTTTTATTATTCATTAAATCATTTAATCTTTTACTAATCAAGAAATGGAAGATACTGTACTAATGTACCTGAAAAAACATAGGTTTCAAAGATTTCTAGATTCAAAAAGCTCTAAGATGAGTATAATTGGGTGGTCTTTATGACACACAATCTCTTATTAATAAAATAGAAGAAAAATGTGACATCAATTCATATATCTAAATAGGGTTTTTTTACTATTAGAATACTTTAGAAGAGGCTTTTATTAATATTAACAGTTAATAATCGAATTTTAAAATCCTGTTTTCTGCAGGATTTTAAATTAAATTGATTTAATTTTATAAATGAATTCTAGAGACCCTCCTAGTAAAATATTGTTATTAATAATAACTTACTTACCTCAATCTTTCCCATTAACAAATGATTTTTTATTTGAGACTTTTAAATAATATGGGGAAGTCAAGAAAATATTAATTTTCGAAAGAGGAAAAACTAACAAAGCATTTGTAGAATACAATGAAGTTAAATAAGCTATTTAAGCTAGACGTAATATGATAGGAAAATCCCTCACTCCTTAAGGAGGCAAGTAACACTTTCAGTTATAATTATACCAGATTATTGATTCATTATTCTCGCTTAAAATAACTAGACCTAGAAGTGGTTGATCATACAAGAGGCTCTGAATATCACTCTGACGATGAAGAAACATAACCATAATAGAAGTCTCCTTTATAATCAATGACTCTACCTAATTCAATACCAGTATCTCCTCCTTTAATCAAGCCTCAATCGATTGAATAGATATCGAATGATATTAATCAACACAAAGGAATATAAAAAATTACTCAAGAATCCCCTACCAAAGCAATGTACGTTATTTTAGTTTATATTATAGAATGGAAACTCAATTACGTCAATTAGAGAGAATATTAGATGACGATTATGAATAAGAAGTAGCCAAAATTTAATTGACACAATTGAATTCCAATGATTTTGCTATTCAAGAATTATTAAATCAATAACCATCTAAATATTTAAAGGTTTCAAATTTAGATGAAAGAGTCACTCCAAGAATGTTGTACAATCTATTTAATAGATTTGGACATCTAGAAGCCTTATTGTTAAAAAAAAATATTCATTAATCTATTCTATAATTTGTAAATAAAGAGAATGCAATTATTGCAAAAGAATTACTTAATAATGTTGTCTTTTTTGGAAATGAGGTTGATATTTAATATGATTATAATAGTTAAGAATATTATTCTAGAATGCTCAAAATATTCAATTGCAGCCTTGCAATCATAATGAAGAATATTATTAAGGAAGTCAAACTAAATTTAAAATCGTTCCTTTAACAAGAGTACTATAATTTTCTGGTATTACTTAATTATTAGAAATCCAAGATATGGTTAAATTAGTTGGTAAGATTTAAGGTAATACTATTCTCATTTTTTTAGAAATCAAATTAGATTCTTAAACTATTTAAATAACTATGGTAGATATCTATGAAGCATTAAAAGTGATCTCAGTCTTTTCGGAGTATGATTACAAAGGAAATAAAATTAGTTTGACTTTAAAATGACTATGTATATATATATATTGATTCAAAAAGTTTATAATTTATCACTATATAAATTTAAGATGAATCAACAAGAATATACAAATATGATCGTTATGGCTTTCTAAGCAAAAGATAAGAAAGCAAGAGATAAGGCAGAAGACTTATTAATTCAAACCTGCCAAAATGATATTAGATCTATTGATAGTTTATGTGAATTATCTTCTTAATAAAATGATTTACTTTTAGCTGAATATGCTGCTATTACAATAAAAACTGCTATTAAAAAATTCATAAGCAACACATGTAAAACCATATCATATTGTAATTTAGAACCATATACTGTTGAACTGAGATTACATCATGTTGATCTATTTGTTTAAATACTCACTAAATAAATACCTGATAAAATAAAAGTCAGTGTTCAATAAGCTCTATAGTAATTAGTTTGTTATGATAAATGTAAATTGATTTATATTATTCAACTTTAGAAAATCACTTCAAAACTCGTCTTAAGTAGCATGTCATTTAGTCTATTGAAACAAAATTAGAAAATATGGTTGTGTCTGCATGCTATATAGCTGAGACTTTATAATTAGATGATCAATTTGAATGGTTCTAATCGATTATCAAAATAGGTAAAATAATAGATGGTTTTTCTTAATCTACTAAAAATCTATGGGCTAAAGTTCTATTTAATTAATTAGATCGACATCTTAAAACTAATTAAATGAGAGGTCTTCCAGAACCTATTTAATAATACTTTATATTTAATGAGGAATTATGTTAAGTACTCATTCTTAAACTTCAACAATTAACATTTGTAGGTGATAATTTAGAATATTGTTATTTTATTGTAGCATCATAAAGATTGATTTATGAATCTATTTCTACATAATATAAAGATGCAATCATTGCAAAAAAGTGCCCATTTTAAGACATATTAGGTATTATTAGTGAAACATTTATATAAAGTCTTGTAACATTTACAATGTCATCTAATTTCTCTTATGAAAATCTCAATCAAAATTAATAAAATTTAATAAATGAAATAATTAAATTATTGACAATTACAAGCAAAAGTGTTTCAGTTTATCATCTATTTGCTGAATATAGAATGGCAATTTTTGTTGATATTATTATACCATTTTTTTCGTCAAATTCAAAAGAAATTAATGATCTTAATGAAGATCCTAATGAATTTGTTTAATTAACTTAAGATCTATTGGATGAATAAAAATCAGATATTATTAAGTCATCTATAGCATAATTAATTATGTCTTATTGTTAACATATAGATGGATCCATATCCTTCTTTTCATCGTTCACAACTCTAGCTGCTTCATATTGCATTCAAAAATTATAGAAAATAGAAATAAGCCAATAATTAGGATTAATCATGGAATTTAGAGAACATTATTTTATAAAATCTATGAATATTCATATATTATTAGAAACTTCATTATTAATCCTATCAATTTTGAGCAATTATCTTATATAAAGAAATGAAGTTGGATTACTTTTCAAATCATTTATTGCTGAATATGGTGATTACTTAATTAATTATTCAATACGTACATAAATTATAAATAATTTAAGCTCTCGTTAAAGCTAGACTATGTACTTTTATTGGATAATTTTGTAGAACAATTCTGAATGAGAAAGATGACCTCTCTTATTAATTACTTAATTTTTTAATGAATTAAATTAAATCTGCAAAAAATGAATTATATTCAAATTGTTATTGTGCAATAGAAGCTATCAAAAATATTATTGAAGAACCCCATTTAGATAAACTTTTGGAACCAAATATAGGATAGATTTTACTTGTATTATGTGAATCTTTAATATAAAGTGATTTTNAAAATTAGAAAATATGGTTGTGTCTGCATGCTATATAGCTGAGACTTTATAATTAGATGATCAATTTGAATGGTTCTAATCGATTATCAAAATAGGTAAAATAATAGATGGTTTTTCTTAATCTACTAAAAATCTATGGGCTAAAGTTCTATTTAATTAATTAGATCGACATCTTAAAACTAATTAAATGAGAGGTCTTCCAGAACCTATTTAATAATACTTTATATTTAATGAGGAATTATGTTAAGTACTCATTCTTAAACTTCAACAATTAACATTTGTAGGTGATAATTTAGAATATTGTTATTTTATTGTAGCATCATAAAGATTGATTTATGAATCTATTTCTACATAATATAAAGATGCAATCATTGCAAAAAAGTGCCCATTTTAAGACATATTAGGTATTATTAGTGAAACATTTATATAAAGTCTTGTAACATTTACAATGTCATCTAATTTCTCTTATGAAAATCTCAATCAAAATTAATAAAATTTAATAAATGAAATAATTAAATTATTGACAATTACAAGCAAAAGTGTTTCAGTTTATCATCTATTTGCTGAATATAGAATGGCAATTTTTGTTGATATTATTATACCATTTTTTTCGTCAAATTCAAAAGAAATTAATGATCTTAATGAAGATCCTAATGAATTTGTTTAATTAACTTAAGATCTATTGGATGAATAAAAATCAGATATTATTAAGTCATCTATAGCATAATTAATTATGTCTTATTGTTAACATATAGATGGATCCATATCCTTCTTTTCATCGTTCACAACTCTAGCTGCTTCATATTGCATTCAAAAATTATAGAAAATAGAAATAAGCCAATAATTAGGATTAATCATGGAATTTAGAGAACATTATTTTATAAAATCTATGAATATTCATATATTATTAGAAACTTCATTATTAATCCTATCAATTTTGAGCAATTATCTTATATAAAGAAATGAAGTTGGATTACTTTTCAAATCATTTATTGCTGAATATGGTGATTACTTAATTAATTATTCAATACGTACATAAATTATAAATAATTTAAGCTCTCGTTAAAGCTAGACTATGTACTTTTATTGGATAATTTTGTAGAACAATTCTGAATGAGAAAGATGACCTCTCTTATTAATTACTTAATTTTTTAATGAATTAAATTAAATCTGCAAAAAATGAATTATATTCAAATTGTTATTGTGCAATAGAAGCTATCAAAAATATTATTGAAGAACCCCATTTAGATAAACTTTTGGAACCAAATATAGGATAGATTTTACTTGTATTATGTGAATCTTTAATATAAAGTGATTTTGAAGGTCATTTTGACACTATTAAATAGATTTTCAAGTATATTTATTATAATTGTATAAAATTAGAACATTTTAAATAGAACCTTCTGTATTAGATTAAGCATTAGGTTTAATAGTTTTGAAAATATAAAAAGAGTAGGAATGTGTTGGATAAGGATAAACAGAAAGATAAATTTTTATCAATTAAACATGGAATATACTTAAATCTTTACCTGAGATAGAGAATATCATTCCTATACATTTTAATCTTTTAGAAAAAAGAGTATCTGTTTTATATTAATATATAATAAGTAATTAATAATATATATATATATATTAGATCCAAATATTATTGATTTTGATGAAGATATTGTATACTTTATATCTTAGTTAATTTTTAAAACTAAATTTATTAGTGATTATTAAGCTGAAATGTTCTTTTAATGTAAAAAAGTGATAGAAAAATAAAGATTCATCCTTGGATAATTATTTGAACTCTTTAATTATTATATTTATTATGGAAAGTCTTTATTTTCAAATATTAATGCTTAGGAATTTGTATACATCTTATATCTTAATTTAGTTAATTTAAATGTTGGAAACTGTGTTTAATAATCCAAAAATTGGTGAAGCTTCATAAGGTGAAGCTATTTTACTATTACATTTATTACTTTAAGAATATTAATTAAATAAAGAAGTTTTAACATATATTTATACAAAAATCTTATAAAGATCATAATTGTTAGTAAAAAATGATTTTTTGAGAGCTAGATTAATGGGAATATACATTTCAGGGTTTATTAAGAATTGTACTTTAACATTAGAATGGATAGAATAATAATAAGGATTTATTTATGATCATATAATTAATTCAAGTAAATATTGCTTACCTGATTATGACAGTTAACTCTATTTGTTTGGATTTTGTTAATTATTACTTTAGAATCCTAGATACTTAAATTTATCATTGCTTAAAAATTTTGTAGAAGTTTTAAAAAATTAATATAATCATGATTTAAAAAAGGCTAAAGATGATAATGATGATAATGAAGATATGTTTGTATTTAATGATGAATTAGAGGATGCAAAAATAATTATGGAAACTTTTTAATCAAATATTACAAAACATAATGAATTTGAGTAATTTCATCTTACATATTAACATTTAAGAAAAACTATCAATATATCAGAATTAATATAGAATGATTCTCTTTTAAAAAAAGATCTTGATGATATGTTGAAAATAAATAAAATTAATTAAGAAGCTAGAATAATTTTAAAATTAAAAAAAAGAAAAGAAACTTGAAAATTATATTGTTAATAAATATATTCAACTATCTTTATACTTAATTTAATATTAAAAATATCATTTTTCATATATATATATAATCATTCTTAAGCTGCCGAGAAACCATTAAAATCACCATTTGTTTCTATAAAATGTGATGAAGGTGTTTCATAGATTCTTTTACCAAATTAATCTTTCTTCACTTAAGGCTATGTAAATTATCAAATATTTAAATTTACATAAACTTGAGTATTTTCTAATATAGGAGATGGTATATCTAAATTATAAAGTTAAGTCCAATTTATATCACAAAAGAAATTGTGATCTTTTATTTCTTATATATTTTTTGAACCAAGTCTTTATGTAGGATCTTTATTTAATAATCTATCCACAATATCTTTAGATTAATCACTCATGAATTTTGGATATGTAATCTATCCATTTTTGATATTATTTTCTATAGATTTATGGTTTCCTGAAGTATCACAAAACGGAGTATAACCAACTAACATCTCATATATTAGAATTCCTAAACACCAAAAGTCAACCATATGATTATGACCTTAATTAAATAAAATTTCTGGAGCCAAATACTCAGGTGTTCCTGCAAGCTATTTATTAGTTATATTTAATACAGTAAAGAATTTTGCTTCTTCATTTTCATATTATTTAGATAGACCAAAATCAGCCAATTTTAAATGTCCTTCTTCAGTGACCATCACATTTTCTGGTTTCAAATCTCTATATATTACTCTTAGAATATTATGCATATATTCCAAACCTAATATTATTTCAGCTGCACAAAATTTAGTTTATTCTTCTGTGAATCTACCTTATTATCTTTTTCTTAATACTTTAGCTAATTAACCACCCTTAATAAATCTTAACTTCATTAAAATATATTTTACTCCATCACTAAATAAAGCTTTTGCTCTGTTTAAAATGAGTATTTCAATTTTACAACAAATGGATTCTTACTTGCACCTAAAACATTCTTTTCCAACATTGTATGTTCTACAAGTCCATATTTTAAGATATCAGCTTTTTTAATAACCTTCATTGCATATTCTCTATTATCTTTTCCTTTCATTTTTACTCTCAAAACTTTACCAAATTTACCCTATCATTTCAATCAATAATAATAATTACTCTTCCTATTTCACCTTAACTTAAAAAATCTTTCAAAGTCACCTTTGATTTTTCATTCCTTTTCTCAATTTATTGAGCTAGAAAACTATCTACTTTTTTTATTGAAGATTTCTGATTCTTCTCTTCCTCCTGTAAAAAGCAATTTCCCATTCAGAATTTAAATATTATTTTTTATATTATCAATTATATTCTTACTTTCCTTAATAATTAATTAGCAACACTATTTTATTAAATTGATATATAAATCAATGAATAATGTGTATATATCAGCTCTATTATCTTTTACCTCCATATCTTCACTAAATATACTTTATCAATCTCTTGAGCTTTAAATATAATTATATTTTACATACCATTAAAACAGTTGGTCTCTATAATCAAATATTCTCAACAAATGGTTATAAATATAAGGATTATACTCTTAGATTTAGTAACTTAAGTTAAACTTAGTCTAATTTATTTAGAAGGAAGTAATTTATGATTTATTTTTTAATGTAGAATTATTATTAGAAATTTTATAAGATTGGGAATTGGGGAATATTATAACATTACATCTTCTAATGATAATGATTAATTTATTAGAATTTAAAACATTTATATATTTAAAATTCCTATCTTTTTTATATTTTACTTATTATAGTAACTAATCATATCTATACATTCTCATTCAAATTCTATTTTATTTAATAATATTTCAATATTTTTGGTATATTATTCGATTTCTTTATTTTATTGTGTTACTACTTATTTTAAGTTTGCTTCTATCAATACTTTTATTTAATCATTTTCTGATGTAATCTTTTATTGCTCTTGTTTCATTTATTGTATTAATAGATAATCTTATTATTCTTTTTTCACTTCTGCTTATAAATCTTATAATTTATTTTGTAAATCTATTAAGGATTGTAAACTATATTAATTTGATGAATTGTTTTTTTCAGATTCTGCCAATTTCTATGATTATAATTGCTCTTTATTTTACTGTAATTTTTACAAGGCTAAATTTTCTTATAGGATTTTATTTGATGCTGTAAATATTTAATCATTTGATTTCTCAAAATTTTTATCTTCTTGTATTAAAGCTTTTTCAGATTCTTTTATTTATTCAAGAACTCTCAAAAAACTATCATAATCTTAATATAATTATTTATAAATCTTCCCTATTTTGAATGTTTCAATTTATAATTCTTTTTAACATTTATCAACTTCAATTTATAGAGCTTCTACTCTTCTTAAACTATCATTTACTTTTTTTTCTAAATTTTTTGGATCTTTAACAATCATACTATAAATATAATTAATTGAATTACCTTTCTAATATTGATAATTCATTTTAAGCTACTTACAATTTCTCAATTAAATTTTTAAACTTTTTTTCAGCATCCTTCTATTCATTTTAATTTTATGAAATAGAATTTTATAATTTTAAATTTAAATTTCTTTTAGCTAATAAATCTGATTCAGCTTTATGTTTCATTTATTTATATTACTCAAATTTTTTATGTTTTAAATCCATATCCTTATATTTCATTTATATCAAATCTTCAAGTTCACTTTTTTATTTTCTATTGTTTTATAAATCAATATCTTCAAGTTAAATCTAATATAATAATAATTGAATTACAATTTCCTTGTCTCTTTTTTCCCATTTTTAAGTTTAATCTCTTTTCCATATACTATATTTACATAATAATGTAAGTATATGTTTCATTCTTTTTTAGTCAGGATCTGTCAAATCCATCATTTAAAAATCTACTACACCAACTGTCTTACACATTAGTTTGCATCTGTAAAATAATTACAATGTTTAGTTTTCTAAAGTAAAATTATCATCAAAATTTATTAAATCACAAAACTAATATAAAAATAGATGTAATTACTTTTTCATATATCATAACTAATTAGCTATGATCAGGATTAAAGTTGTTATCAATAGAATTATAAATTTGAAGATCTTTTAACATTTGAACCAATTCTTAGTTAGAATTCATATTTACAAATAATTATAAATTAATTTTAACATATATTATATTATTTTAATTGAATTTACTAAATTTTAGGATATAATTATATTTATCAAAATATCAAATAAGTTGTAATATTTCAAAGAGTTCTTTTATTATTAATGGTTTAGTTAACACATCACTCATTCCAGAGTTTAAACACATGTTAATATCATTCTTACTATTAAATGCAGTTAATCCAATAATATGAATTTATGGTATTTAATGTTAATCCATCATTAATCTTAATTATTTAGTACATTATAATCCATTCATTATTGGCATTTGATAATCCATTAAAATTAATAAAAATAAACTACAATTTAAGTTACATTTTGGTGTATCTTTAACTATCTAAATAGCTTCTTACCCATTAAATGCCTTTTAAATATAATATTAAATAATACCAAAATAATTTCAAAACCTTATTAAGATAATAAGAATTGAATTGATTTTTAATTAAAAATTTCATCATCAACAGACAATATTCTCTTACAATTACATTTTTTCTTCTTCATTATTGCTTTCAAATGTTATTCACTATCTAGTTCTTCTTAAAGTTTTAATTATTTATAACTTACTATTTTTGCTTAAGGATGATTACTTTTTGGAGATAAATCTTACTTAGCCAATTTTATTCTTTGATGACCTGTTTCTGAAAATAAAAATGGTTATAAATGATGCATTTCAGATATTTATAAATCTTAATCTAAGTTAATTATACTATCTGAAAAAATTGAATTTTCATTTGATTTTAAAGATTTTAGAGTTACTTTTTTAACAAATGGAGTATTAACATTAAGTTTTCGATTAGAAACAAATAGATCACTAATTTAAATAAGTGTTCCATTTAATGATAAATGATGTTATGAACCTGATAGATTACTTTATCTAAGTTTACTGTTAAGTCTTATTGGTTTATCCTTATAATGAACACTTGATGATTACCGAATTAATTTATGATTCTAAATATAGAATGTCACTTTTGTTCCTTATCCTTATCCTGCAGATCTAATTAATAATGATTTATAATCTGCAGGACACAATTTTGATAATAACATTGATGAGATTAGTAAACCAAATCCATGCCAAGATTAATATTAAGAAAAGTTTTATTTTTATTCAACATCTAAAAGCATTTTATGTATTTTAATTAATCTATCTTAATCTATTCCAAATCCTTCATCTTTAACTGTAACCTTTAAGAAATTCTATGAATATGTTGACAATTTAAGTAAAATATATCCAGAATTTGAATATTTAATAGAATTTTATAGAACATTTACTATAATTTAGACTAATCTCTAAAAGTCTGTAGAAATACTATTTAATTAATTCTCCAATAAATCAACATACAAAATTAATTTTTTCATTTCTATAACAGATTTAAATAATTTATTAATTTCATCTACTAAATCCATAATTAGAAAATCTTTAATATCCAATTCTAAATTATCAGCACATAATGAACTAAAATCAATAATATCATTAATTAAATAAGATTGTAATCTTAAGGCATTAATAGCAGGTTAAATGAAGTTGATTTTCAATTCATCTTCAATGCCTTTATGATTTAAACAGTATTATAAAAAGTTACATGAACTATTTAAAGGTGTTCTTAATTCATGTGAAAAAGATTGGGCTATCTAAAATAATAAATAAAAATATTTACTGAAGTTTTAAATTAGTCTTTAATCATTTCATCAAAGTATTTATTTTGTTTTGATATGTCAATCAATGTTAAAATAATTTCATCATCATCTTAATTAAAAATGATTTATCCACTATAAGTAGAACATTTGAAATCTCCCCATTGATGTTAACAAAATAATTCTAAAGTATTATTAGTTGAATTAATAGTATCTAATAATCTACCTTCTTTATAATTTTCTAAAATTTCAGATAATTTGTTCGTATCTTTAAATTTGATATTTATACTCTCTTAATCAGAGAAATCGTTTTTATCTTAATTACTCTTATTAGAAGGTAGATTATTCCTTAATCTGTTCTTTTTTATATGTTAATCTGTAGTAATGTTTTTTTGGTCTTCTTGAGATTCTAAAATTATAAATTTTTAGAATAATACCTGATATAATTGAAAATTCTAACTAATTTAGAATTAATTTGTCATATTCTATTTCATTATTACAAATTGTTGAAAAATGTTTATATACAATTTGATTTTTATAGGTTAATTTCAAATAATTTTTAGAAATCATAATGAAAAATATAGGAAGAGTCGATATTCTACTCATCCAAGTATTTTCTTTGTTACAAAAATTTATCATTTCTTGATTAATTTTATTTTAAGAAAAACTAAATAATTCTTAATTATTTAATTATTTTTATTATTTAAAAATTAAACCTAATTAGTATGTATCTAATAATATAACACTTGCAATTATAACAATATCCATAAAATTAAATTAAATGATCATTATAATAAAACATCCGATTTATATTATGATCTTTTGAACTAAGTATTCAAAGTGCTCAGAAGCAGCTGAATAATTATTTTTTTCACATATTAATACTATTATTAATATATAATCTTATCCAATCAACAAAAGAATTAGGATTGAATTAAATTTTACCACAACCAAAAATATATTGATTATAACATGGGTTAGTTTTTTCCAAAATGATATTATTATGATTCCCATAATAATATTAAAAGACAGTTTAGGAATGATGTATTCTAAATAGTCAGGATACAGAATTAATAAGGTAATGTCAACTAGAGAGTGCAAAATCAAAAAAATCATAATTTAAATGACATTTTATTTTGTTATTAATCCTCTCTTTTTACTTAGCGAATTTTCTTAAGTCTTTTTAGAGTGGGTATATGAAGTATTTCTTAACATTATATTTTTATCTATTTTTAATAATAATTAGGACCTGGAAGTAATTATCATTGAAGTCAATAAGAATAGAAAGAAGTTTTGAAATTAGTATAGATTTAGAATGTTCAAAGAATCAAAGACGGTTAGAAATGATATTTTTTAAGCATTTATATCGTTTATTATTATGTTTCATAAGATTCAATTTTATTATTAATAAATATATTAGCCATAAAATTCAAACAAGAATCAAAATCTCTTTCAATTCTTTCAAATTTAAAGGTTTTTGTAGCACATCACTCATACCTGCTTTAATACAATTTGAAATATCAGTAGCGTTAGTAAAAGCTGTTAATCCAATTATATGTATTTTTGGAATTATATTTTAATTCATCATTTCAATTAACTTTGCCGTCGCAGTACATCCATCCATTATAGGCATTTAATAGTCCATCAATATTAGAGTGAATAATTAACATTTTGGACTACAAGGAATAGCTTCTTCGACAATTCTAATGGCTTCGGCTCCATTAAATGCCTAAATTTATATTTTATAAAATTATACTAATATTACTTCAAATCCTAATTTGGCCAATAAAATTTGAATAGATTTCTAATTAAAAATTTCATCATCAACTGATAACAAATTTTAACAAGTACATTTTTTCTTTTTCTAAAATATTTTCTAAAATTCTAAATCTTCTTTAATTCGTGCTTCAATTATCATTTTTAGATTTACGATTTAATGATTAATTTAGAGATCATTCTCCTTTTTTTATTAAATAAATAATTTATCTGTAATCAATGAAGGTGAAAGAGGAGAAAGTTATCCATATTTAATAAATAAAGATTCAAATGATTAGCTGTCTGTATAATTAAAGTCATTCTTATTAGATTCTTTTTTCTTCAAATTATATTTATTTGATTATTATATGTTACCAAAATCTGTTGCTTAAAATATGGAACAATTTATATCTAAATTATATAATTATTCATCATGAGAACTTTAAAATCTAGAAACACTCTATCTTAATGTGCTTTATCTAGGTCTTTCAATTCTACGTTAATTTTCAACATAAAACCAAATTTTTGTACCTTATTATTTACCAGATGAATCAATTTATAAAAATTTATTTTCTTTTGGTGCTAATTAATTAATTAAAATAGCAGTAATTAATAATCCAAATCCTTACCAAGTTTTATTTAATTAAATATCTTTAAAATGTTCAATATTTTATAGAAGTGATTATAATTGATTAAGATTATCACTCTCTATTCCTATACCTTAATCTGAAACACATATTTTTAGACCATGATTATAAGTAGTTATTATTTATAATGTGACTACACCATGTGATGAAAATTTTAAAGAATTTGATAAGAGATTAACAATAATTTAAATAATTCTTGAATAATCAGATGTAAATTTAGAAGTAGTACATTCAAGTAAATTAATTTTTAATTCTATTCTTTTCATTTCAAATTAAGTTTTAAATAAAAAGATTATCTCATTTAATATTTCACTTATAGAAAATTCTCTTACAGATAAAATAAAATTATTTGTTGTAATTTATGATAAATCTATTATGTCATTAATGATATATGATTGCAATTTTAAAGAATTTATTGCTGGTAATAAATAATCTTCTTTAATAAACTCTTATACTTCTTAGACATATTGACAAGAAACAAGAAAATTAAGTGCACTATTCAAAGGAGTTCTTAATTCATGAGAAAAAGACTCTATAATCTTCATTAATATTTTAAATGATAAATACCTTTGATTTAAATTCAGAATTTGAAATCAATTCTTGTAATTCATTTTATTTTGAAATATCAATAAGAGTAAGCAATACTTCTCCTTCTTATTCTGAAAAAATAATTTAACCTGATAATTATAACTTTTATTTCGAAAAAGAATAATTATAGTTTATAGTAATTGTTTACCAACTTTAATCTGAAAAGATCTCAATATGATTATTATTATTCAACTATTCTGATATAATGTTTTATTTTTAATAGTTTAATATTTCAAATATAGAACATTAAGTAATTGTTTAGAATTCTAGAGAGTCTCCAATTTTAGACTATTCTTATTTTTACTAAGGTGATAAATTAAGAGAAATAGAATCACTTTTATAATTCCATATTTATTATTTCTTTGTTTACCTTTAATTCATTTTAGGCTTTGAGAATAATTACTTTATTTTATCTATTTTATCTTATATTATACTGAATTATAATTTATGTAATATTAACTCATCTAATTAATCATCATTTTCATAACACTATTTAAAATAGGTATAAAGATAACTATTTTTATAAGTAACCTTTAGAGTACTCAAACTTATAACCATAAAACATTATGGAATTTAATTTAAACGATAATTCCATTCTTAATCTGTAGTTCTAATTGTATTTTAATAACTACTAGTAATGTTGAATTGTATTTATTTATTTTAATTAGATCTATCTAATATTATTTTATTTATTTCAATCAATATTGTGTATACAAGTGTTATTGTTAAAAACAAATTAAAATCAAATGTCATTATAATAAGAGTAATGATTCGTAATAGTATCTAATCAAATTATTTAAATGTATTATTCTGAGATTATATTAAATCTAAACGCTCGAATAATGCTATTATTAAAATTGCTAAATCTGATCCAACAACTACTATTAATATAATGGTTGCCAATTTACTCAAAAGTATACAGATTTATTAATAAATGATTGCTTTTTCTTTTGGCAATATTAATTATTAGATTGCAAAAAATCCATGAATTGAACAGATCACTACAGATAATAGTTAATTTCTTGCATCATAAGTTATTACTAATATACTAATTAGTATTTAAAACAAAAAGAATAATACAATAGAGTAATTCTTATTATAGCATTGAAATTAAGTCCTATTTTTTGATTTTTCTTTTGTCTTCATATATTTCTTGAATATAAATTTATGTTTTAATAAAATTTTTAATTAAAATAATGGAATTTCAAGCCAAATTTTATTTAATCCATTTATTATTCATATATTTAATATAATTTCTTTCATATATTATATTGAGGGTATATCTTAATTTTTGAATTAAAATATTAAACAAAGTATAGATAATAATTTCAAATATTTAATTTGAATTTTCCATAATAATCAAAATATTTATCTCATATATTTTAAATTACTGAATAAAAGTTTATAAAAAATAGTAAATATTTAACCTTAATGAAAATGGTCTTATTGAATAGATAATTTAAATTATGTATTATTCTAATAATATATAAATTATATTGAATTAAATTAATCATTTTTGTTCCAAAATATTCTCAATTAATTTATTTTTACTATGATTAATACTATCACTTTTGGTTTATTGTTACTCAACTTTTTCAAAGTATTGACAATTGAATTTGAAATATCAATTTCTTAAGGTTCCTTATATTCATAAAAAAGAATTGTGAATACTATTTCTGCAAATACAACTTTTATTGTTAATTGTTATCAACAATTTGCCTAATATTGTACAATTGAATTAAATTAAACATCAAACAAACCAGCTGAAATAGCTTTACTTTATTTAGAAGGACAAGCACCATTTTTAGATAATAACAATGATTTTATATATGATGGAATGGACTATGACAGGTATTGCTAATCAGAACAATTTTCATAGTTATGTATAAAAAAAGAGAAACCATTTTATCTAGATACCAAGTTCAAAGGGTAAAGTGTATTTTACTGTATTGACAAACATTCCAGTTTCCTTTGACATTTATTTGAGAGGTTCATAAACAATGTTATGTCAGAATAATTGTAAAGGAAATGGAATATGTATAGAGGGAGAATGTAAATGTGATTCTGGATTCATTTCTAGAGATTGCTCATTGAGAGCATTATAATTGGAATAAGAGAAAACAATATCTGTGAATGGATCTCATGATCCTAACTTTTATTGTTATTATGAATATAAGGGATCTTAAGATTTATAGTTAGAAATTACTGTAATTTAAATAAAATATTGTAGATTAAAGATGAGAATGAAGCTCAAGTTTATTTACTTATACCTGATTTAGTATATTTACCAACAGTTGATTTCTATAATGATGCAGCTAGAATTACAAAAAAAACTCCATTTAAAAGATAAATAGAATAGAGAAAATCAAAAATCAAGAATGATAAAGATAAATATATTCCTGATAAATTGATTATATTACTTTAAGGTGTTTAATTTAAAATTAGATTGGAGTAGATTAATAGTGTAAATAAGGAAGAATAAATGAAATTAATTATAATTGTTGTTTGTAGTATAGCAGGATCTATTTTACTGTGTTTTTGTATATTTTTAATTAGAAGAATAAAATAAAAAAGATCAAT